ACAATTAAAAAGACGTTCTTCCAACATGTCAATCAAATTAGATCAACGAATTTGCAATGTATATGAAATTCGATTCAAAATTCACAAACTATGATCACTTTCCCAACAATATTAATCGATCCATCCTTATCATCCCATCCCTCATTTCCATGCAAACAATCTCTCAAACAGTCTTAGACCAAACACAAAAAAACGCAAACTAACGTTTCTTTATCTGCTATCAGCCACAATTACAGTGGAAGAGCAAGCGTTTTCCGCGACGCGCAGCTGCGACCCGATAGGCACGAAATTCAACGTCAGGGTGGTTACTGGTTAATACGGCAACTTATCCACTTAGGAATACGCTCTAATACCAGACGAAGGTTGGTGTTCGTGTAACAACCGGCACGATGGGTGGGTGAGAATCGTCGGGGTGGCTGGATAACCAGGAGTTTCGTCGGTGCAGAAGTAACGGAGATTGTTACCAAGTTTGGATAAACCGAGCCAAGTTCTCCGGCTGGTACTTACGGGACCGGTTGTCTAGCGACGAAAACGCTTGGACAAAGTTTATTCCTCCAGCTTCCCCCTCTTTGCTTCTGCCACCCCCCTAAGGAACGGTCGAGACACTGATTTACATAACGATTAAGTTAATTAACGAGCAGCACCAGCCGCCGCAGTTGGATTGTTAATTTCAACCGCGAAACGACGAATCGTGTCGAACTCGCGTCCCTGTGGCGTTGAACGTGAAACGCGGAGAATTATTAGCGACACGAGTACTACGCTATGCTATGAGTACTGTTTCGCGTGCATTCGCGCAAGTTTAGCAAAATAGATAAGATTTTGTGCCCTTCGGGGCTTTCGAGTCGGAGTTCCATAAAACAATGATTCTGTTCTGTAAAACGATAAAATAACAGACAGTCAGTCAATGCATTATAGCGAGGAATTAACATTTATCAATCGAATGAAAGAACAACATCGACAAAGGAATGTTGATATTAATAGAAACCAGAGGTATGCGGGAAACAATACTGTTCTTACTATAGCAAGAAGTATGAATTTACAACAGAGGAATTAAATTCCTTTTGCAACCACCATGATTCGTTGTCTGCCATTGATTTGATATTTCACCCTGTAGCATTGCTTAATATCCTTTCCTGCTTTGTTCGTCTGTATGAATATTCGACAATTTAATTATTTCATTCAATTTACACAATACCCGATTATAATAACTCTGATTTGTGTGAAAAGAATCCATACTACATGTTATCTGTATATTTAAGAAACTAGAGTTTCCAGTGTGTATATTTTATTCATCATTTTATTCTACAAACTTTCTCAATTATTCTAAAAACAATCAATATGAAAAGCAATCTTCATCTAAAATAAAACAGAAACAAATAAATATTTTCAATGAGGTTTATTTAACTTTAAGTTCTTTCACTATCCCTATATCATCAAATTTTGATATAAGAATCTTTCCAAATAATTTTTAATTGTAAAAAAGGAAGCTTAGTATTTTAAAAAATTATATCCAATGGGATATTCCAATTGACACAGTTAGAAGCGTAAGATCTTTCCCTTTAAACTGCATTTTATTTTGTTCCAGGTGAATAGGACAGATTCAGAAACATCCGCTCTTGAGATACGATCTTGTAAAGAAAATAATTTTTCGCTTGTTTACTTTTCTCTCTCGCTCGCACACTCGGATCTCTCACTAGCACACCTTCACTGACCTATTTCAAGAGCAAAGTCCTTGCGGTGGCCACCAGCAGACGCTGAGTCAGACGATTTTTTACTACTACTACTATTACTACTACTACTACTACTACTACTACTACTACTACTACTACTACTACTACTACTACTACTACTACTACTACTACTACTACTACTACTACTACTACTACTACTACTACTACTACTACTACTACTACTACTACTACTACTACTACTACTACTACTACTACTACTACTACTACTACTACTACTACTACTACTACTACTACTACTACTACTACTACTACTACTACTACTACTACTACTACTACTACTACTACTACTACTACTACTACTACTACTACTACTACTACTACTACTACTACTACTACTACTACTACTACTACTACTACTACTACTACTACTACTACTACTACTACTACTACTACTACTACTACTACTACTACTACTACTACTACTACTACTACTACTACTACTACTACTACTACTACTACTACTACTACTACTACTACTACTACTACTACTACTACTACTACTACTACTACTACTACTACTACTACTACTACTACTACTACTACTACTACTACTACTACTACTATTACTACTACGCAAAGTACACGTTTCCAAGAAACAATGTGGGTCACGTGAATTTCGCCCGCCATTCACTATTCCAGCGTGTTTTCAATACCAAACTTTAAGTCCGTGTATCCTGGAAACTAATTGAGATATCGACCTCGAAAAAAGGGCGTTTTTATGGCGTGATTTCCCCTATCTTCTTAAATGTCCTTTGTTAGAAATTAAAATTTTATGATTTTTCTGGATATCTTTTACGATTTTTATGATTTTCATGATTTCTATAATTCGATATCTTGGGAACTAATTCAGATATCAATTTCGAAAAAAGGATATTTTTACGTTCCTTCATCTTTTTCGAAGATTTTCGTCCGAAGTTTTACAATTTTTCCGGATGAGCTTCAAGATAAAAATCGATGTTACGTTAACTGTAGAGTAGAAGGTTTTACGAGTTGCATAAATATTTATATAATAATTCATATATTGTATAAATATTATTAATAATATTTAGAATATTTGTAGAAATGACGAAGCTTTCATTTGTCATTAACAACATCAGTTAAATTATTTTCATTTAACATTTATTTTGATATTTCGATAATAAGAATGAATCTATATATATATATTTATATATTTATATTTGTATATATAAATATATATAATATATATATATAAATATATATATAAATATATATATATATAGATACGAACAGGGAAAAAATGAAAGTTTGCGACGACTTACGGGATAACGCTAGAATTAATCCGACAGCCGCGTAAAATATAGAAGGTTGAAGGATGTACCTGAGCTTGGATTAGGATTTAAAGCGTTTCAACGTGGCTGCTGCTCTCTGCAGATAAGATTTTCATTGTCCGTCAAGGTCATGGAATATTTGTTCGATCTCGCTTCCTTTGAACAGTCACGATTTTCAAAGGATTACCTTGAATCACCGTGGGAATTCTTCCAGAGCTAGGAATGCTCTTGTTCTTTCTACTTCTTTTTATGAATTAGTCTTTAGAAATATACTTTTTATGAATAACTCGTAATATAACTTCACCGTTCTAAATCAGATGTTCACCATACTCGCATTTTCTCATTAATAATTTAATTAAATTCTAGAAGTCTTTTAAATAGAAGCGTGAAAAGGCTATGCAAGTTGATATATTGTTATATTTGAAAGGCTGAAACAACTGGTGCAAGCAAGTTTAAGCATTGAGAAAATGATACATAAAATCTGTATCTAGAAATCTGTGGAATATTCTTGTGAATTTTAATTTTCATTTATTTATTAATTTTATTAATACGTATAATATTAGTGTTTTAATATTTGCAGTCTTTTCTTTCTTTTTCCCACTTTCCCACTGAATCTTTGATTTCTATACATTATTAGAACATAAAAAGAAATCGATAAAATTCCTGTAAATGGTTAAATAAAGAAATCTCTCCCAATGGCGAAACAAAGAAATAAAAAAATTTCAGGACATAGGAAAGTAATAACGAAGACAAAGTATTGTTCATAATTTAAGATATTTTCAAAGATTTCACATATTTTTTACTAATATATTTTTACTAATAATATAACTTGTAGAATTGTTATTTCTATGCGCCTACTAATTGATTTCCTGTAAATTTTATTCAGTAGATAATATTAAACATATGTTTTTAGTATGTTCCCTTTTATAATCAGTTATACAAACATGACATGTGATTCAATATCGAAGAATTTTCACAATTGTCATGGAATTGTATTAAGAATTCCTATTTGACAGTTTGAAAATATCATTCGCTGTCTGCGATATTCTACTTTCTTTCAAGAACTCTTTCGTAAAAATTGTCATCCGACTATTTCAAGGATCGTCGAGATGTCTCGAGTCGCATTCACCTTTGACGGTGGAATCGACGAGGGAGAATTGTCACGTCTTACGACCATCGGCTAGAGTAAACACATTTTCACGAAGTTTGGCAAGGAAAAATGTTGATTTCGAAGGGACGTGTGCACACTACTGCACACACGCGACAAGAGCCTGCGTTTCGTTGGGATTTCCAGCGTCGATCGAGAGTGAGACTCGATGAAATTGCTTTCGATGCGTGAGTCAAACGTTCTTACAGATATATATATACGTGCGTTTATCGAGATCTGTACCGCGTCGATATATTCAACGGAAAAGAAACGATCGAGTTTTGCGCGAGCAAAATCTCACTTCAACGGTTGGACGGAATAATTATTAATGAATTGAGATTTCGTAATATAAAATGGAGAATATGAACTTTTTGGAAATTATCGAATTGTATTTGGATTTCTAGTGATCTTCAGTGGAATTTCTCTTTCTTATAAAAAAAACCTTTAAATTGTTTAAATATCGCGCTCAATGTAATTGAAATATTTCTTAACCGTTACGTCCCATGCAAGTAGTAATTTTGATTTTCGATTAAACTTCATTTTTACGATATTGTAAATTAATTAATGTAACGGTTATGACACAACAGCAATTGCAGTTTCCGAAATATTACGCGAACAGCTTCGAAAATGGTGGTTTCCTTTGATTCTGTCGCAGTACTTGTACCACCGTCTCTTTCAATTATGTCTATCTCACAAATTAAAAACGTAATTCAATCCGTCATTCAATAACGCGTTCCATTTGTAACATTGGAACGTGCACAACGTTTACACGTTTCTTCTCGAACGCTACAATTTTCCCAGAGACAAAAACAAAAATAAAAGAGGAAACTATGTACTCACGATATCGAAGTCGAGATTCTCAGCGATCCAGTCACGGCCTTGCTTGAATTCATCGTGTAGACCCATGATGTACAGGGTGTCGAGGCCGTCGACGATGGTCGCACCCATATTTGAAGCACCAAAGATACTAGCGCTGTGGCCCCTTTTCGAGATTGGTCTTAGCTCGTTCTTTCCCCAGGCGTACCTCACGTAGTTGTCCCAGCCATGTTTCATCATCTGCATACATAAAAAGTGTGCGATCAGATCAAACAGTTCAAACAAAATCAATATATGTAAATCAATCATAAATATATAGCAACGGTATAAATTACAGGGTTACGAATGAATTTATAATTCGAATTTTTATTCAATAAACGACAGACACAAAGCATAAATTGCCCAATTTCATCGATCTTAATCATTTGGTTCCTGGAAAATTAAATATATACAAATTATTGTTACATTGTGAATTTTTATACAAACTCTTTATCAATAAAATATAGTTTACGAATATGGCGTTATAACGAGTGCACTTTCGTTCATTGGATGTAACATAGTTGCGCTATCGTTTATTCTAATTTTTATCAAATTCTTTTAATCGTGAGAAATTGGACATTGTTAGGATTTGGAAGAACTCATTTCGAAGTAGGATGGACACCGGATAAAGAAATGTTTCGTAAATTTCATTACGAAATTCTTAAATAAGAAACAATAATTCAATTGTTGATATTCCAAGGCAACGTCGAGAGTGGATGTAATAACAGTCAAGTAAATCGCTTGGTGCACGTGTTCAGATGGGTAATTACGTTGCAAGATAAGTTTCCTTGTGGAGAGCAAGAAAAACTAATGCATGGCGAGACAAAGACATCATCAAGTACTCGAAGAGATTCGCTTCAGCTACTCTGACAGGCATTTCTGCTCTCTTCCTCCCCTCCCAACTCTTCTTCACGGATTCTTGGCAGTAAGAACGCACTTCCGTCTTCGAGTTTACCCTTCCATCGTAGAAGCATACGATGTTCTGAGATTTTCCAGGAAACATAGGTACTCGTTCTGATGTCTTCGAATCGCGTACCAGGAAACGAAAGTTTCTCTTTTTTTTTATATTTTATTTCTGAAACAAATTTCGGTGCGAGCTTCGAGATTGAGGTTTCGGAAAATAGACCAGTCTCAGATACGTAGAAATTCCTTTCTTTCAATTGAAAGATTCTGTACTCTATGAGGAAATCTATACATTTAAGATATACTAAATTGAATTTAATTTTATACTATGTATATCATAAGTATTCACAGAGGTTTGTTTGAAGCTTAAGAAAATCTGTAGGATTAAGTATATCGAATTTATAATTTCGCATTATTTAACAAACTAAAAATACGTCGGGGAATATCCCGAGATAATGTTTATTTCATTTCCAGTAGACGTAAGTAAACTTTAGTAAAGTCACATGTCTAATTGTCATAATTGATGCGCGTATAAGGTCACATATTCACGTCTTTACATTCGATTCGTATTGCAAGTATAATCAGAGTCAGAGTGTCCGTGAAAATTCCTTTAATGACTTGGATATTTAATAGAATTTGGATGTTTGAACATTCAATAATTTATTCTGCTTTCAACGTAATTCAAACGATTGCCGCAGATACATCCCTACTAAAGAGGAACAAAAATGAAAAAGAAAGACAAAAGAATCCCGAAAATACGTACAAGGAGGGAAAAAATTTGCGAACGAAATTTGGCAGAATAATTCGATGCGAATTCACACGTGTCATTGCTGGTGAAAATAATAGACGGATCCTTGGTACGTAAGGGATGGGGTGGACAGCAACGCGAATCGTACCGAGAAAAACGAATATATTAGCCTGTCCGGCCGTTCGTTGACCATTATTCCCGTTCTCTTTGATTTTTCGAGCCATTTGCCGGCCTCTGCCAGTCCGCAGCCGCTTCATCACGTTTTTATGGCGGTATAATTCAGGGGGCAGTATAATATCTGTGGGCCCTGGCCAGTGGCACCAACAGAAGTGAGTCCTTCTCTCCAACCTTTCTCTGCGGTCATCGTGAATTAAAAAAAGAAAAAGCAAAAAGAAAAAAGAAAGGAAGAGGAAGAGAACGAAAAAAGAACAATAAATTCACGAGGGAACGATGAAAGGGGTGGGATGTGTGGAATTTTTTTGACACGGCGGTATTCATGACGGATGAAGATGGAGGGAGAGATTGAGGAGCGAGAGCAGTTGATCTCGTCGATGAACTTTCGCGAATGTTCTTATTACAACCTGGCTACATTGTTTCGTGGATGGGATAATCTTCGTACCAGGTGATTCGATGTAATCACGTTTTGATCGAGTTTTAATGCGAGCCTGCGCGCACACGATGCGCTCGTAATTATTTAAATCGAATTTGCGAATAATTATATGAGTGATAAAATTATATGAGTGATCGTATGAATTTTTGTGAATCTTTGCAGTAAATATAATAATTTCACAGATTCATTGTCCAAATATCATACGTGATTTTCATCCAAAAGTCTCATAGACTGATTTCGTTATTATTTATACACGTTAAACTGACAGCTTATTGATCGTTAAAGGCCTTTCATTAAAGCCTTAATAAACCAAATATTAAACATTAAAATTATCGAATAATATCACCGTTAACTACAAGATTTTCATCGATTCAACAAGAAATCCTATTCACGATCATCGCGCAAACGATTCAGTCAATTCAAAACCGAGAAACTATCAAATTCTATCGTTTCAAAGTTTCTTCTCGACAAAAATTAGAGACAAGCAAATATACCGCACTTTTCCATCCAACCAGCGGCATGAAATCCAAACCATAATCTGGTTGCGAGTAGAGGAGGACGAAGGCAAGGAAGGAACAATCCCGATCAAGGTTGGCATTCGTGGAAGGGAGCGACGTTGCAGAAAATTGCAGAAGGCAGCCATCGTGGCCGGTGGTGGTGCGAATCGCGACGTTCGACCCTTTTTGTCCTTATCCACGTAATCGCGGCTAATTTGTTCTGCGGCGAACGCAGGCAACGTGTACAGGACGAGAGGTTTCCACGCTCTACCCTCCTTTCGATCGTAATCTGGTTAACATCCGTGTTAGGATTAAACCATTAGCCCGACGGGAAGGGATACGGAAGGAAGAACAACCGGCAAAGCCGAGCCTCGTGGCCGACGTACGCGGTCCTGTCCGATTATTTCCCCTCTGTGAAGGGATTCTCGTGAACTTTGATGTTCCACCTTTAATCCGCTTAATTTTCTTCGATCTAATCGGTCAAAAATGCACAATCTTGTTTTCTAGCGAAATTGTTTCTTGCTTATATAATAATACACGTATCCTTCCTGCGATTCTAGCTCCAATCATAGGTTTTTAACACGATGAAATGCAAAACACAAGGCAGGAAATGGAACGAAGCAAGTACTTTTATAAATACGAAAGTATGATTGTATCTATTGGTACAAAAGATGATTGGTTGGCTGTATTCGTATCTCACATTAGCGTTGAAGGATTAAGGTACAGTAGGATCTCGATTTACTGAACGCTTTTTATCCGGACGGTAGATTATTATTCTTATTCGAACGTTAGCCTGTCGGAACCATATCGGCCAGTAAAGGAAAATAGATAGATACTCTGTGTCGTATTATTTTTAATATGTAGATGAAACACATAAGTTCATGTAATGAATAAGTCGGTGAAGGGAAATTACGAAATTATTAATTAACTAAAGAAAATTATGGATACTTTTGTTAACCTTTCTGTTTTTCATTGAAAGAAAAATACAGCAACACTTGAAACAAGTCGTCTTACGTGAACAGTTACGTATCTCTTAATCAATTTATGTATACTCCTTGTACGACAGGTTTTAAGATTATAGACTTATGATATAACTGTACGTTCTTATGCATTCACTAAGTCTATTATTTATACTTTTCTGTAAGTTGAATAGAGAAAAGGTCAATTGAGTTAGAATTTAATATCGAGTCCGTTGGAATCTTAAAGGAAATTTGATTCATTCATACGCAATTTTTATTCCTTGCTTATACTGCTTATAAATCAAAGAAAAAAGCTTGTTATCTGTAATAGTTTGCGAGATAACAGGTCGTATCGCTTCGAGCGAGGCACCCTGCATAAAACCCTTGTAAATCCCTGGTGGTTGGTATCCCACTGAATAACAAAAGGTCACTCGAGGGACCCATCTTCTTTTCCTGGAACTTGCCAGGAGAAAAAATTTCTTTTCAAAGCAATGCTGCAGCGCGTTTCCATTAATATACAAACGGTGCACGGTCGTGCAGAGAGGGCTGTGCTGGTTTCGAAAGGATGCAAGCACGGAGGAAAGAAACCTTGCTGGTCGATCGAGCGGGCATCGCTCTGACTGGATAAATAAGACGAAAAAAAATTTAGAAGAAGAAAAAAGGAAGGAAGAGAAGAGAAAAAGTCGACGAAGCCACTTCGATGCGTGCTCGCGGGATTAAGTACAGGGTGCGCGATGCAAACAGCTCTGTATATCGGAGATCGCAGATCAGTCACCGTGTGATTCGATCGTGACTGGAATTCGATTGATAAAAGTCCATCTACCGTAGAACTGGTCTCTCTATGGAGAAATACGAATATATTATTTATGAATTACATTCGTTGGAATAACCTCGGGAACTTCTAGACCTTTAAACGTGATTTTATTTTTGGAGTAGGTAATGTTTGAGATTATCGTACGTTACATATTAGAGCTTCGATTATTATGTGTTTTATGTTCGAAGAGAAATCATCTCTTTGGAAAGTGCCATCGTCAGCAACTAGAATATTAATTAAACAGCGAGTGTAGTTAGTGATTTACTGTATCTGCAATTGAATAAAAATATCCGACTTTTTATTAGCACTAATCCACTCAACATTCACTTAATCCATTATTTATTATACTATCTCATTATTATATATATATAATATAATAATATATAATAATATATATATATGCAATTTAGATACGATTGTAAATAGAATGACTATAATATAAAAATATTAAGATCAAACGTTTTTATAATTTTATACAATTATATAGTGTATCCTTACGATGTTCGTGTAATCCAGAAGGAAACGAATGCTGATAAAAAAGATGTTGTTATCGTTATTGTTTTCGCTTCTTTATTTCAAACACTAAATTCTGTCACTCGAAACTCGGTGATTAGCAATGAGCAATCACACGAAACCTCAGCTACTGTGGTAACAGCTGTTTATATTTTTT